TATAAACCAAAAAAATTATCAAACAAGTTTTTATGACAGTTTTTTAAATTTTTGTAAATATAAATTAAAAACTGAAAACGAAATGATCACCAAACAGACTTCTGATGGTAAAAATGTCGTAAAATTAACGAATAATTAAATAAGTTACCAACATAAGAAATGACTTATCAAAAAATTCTTAACCTATGTATGGTTTGATTTTTAGAAATTTAAAAAAAAAATTAAAAATTAATTTGGTTAAGAAATAAAAAATAAAAAATAGTTATCATTTTTATAATAATAATAATAATAATAATAATAATAATTGGTAAATTCAACTGATTGTAAATTTTCAGTTTAATAATAATTGTCATGGTAATAAAAAAAAATGAGTTTACGTTGAGGAAAAATGAAAATAATAATCATTTTCAACTGAGAATGATAATAATAAATAAATAAATAAATAACTGAAAACCAGTTGGTAATAATCTTAACCTAAAATTTTCATTATTATCATTTCTCCGTTGATAATAATAAACTGATGAAAATGATAATAATAATTTTAAAACTAATTGTAAATTCAACTGATTATAATAATAATAATTATCATTTTTTTTTTAAATTAAAAATTATTATTATTATCAGTTGAATTTACGTTATTATCATTTGGTTAAGAATTAAATTTCTTTTCAAATAATTTTTTTTCTAATTAAATTTTTATTTCAATGAATTTTTTTTCAACTAATACTAACTGAATGGGCAATTAGTAATGCTACTGTAAACCTTAGGGAGGGGATTGTAATTTCTAAAATGTGAGGGGTGTCAACGTAATTTACCCAATAAGGGAAAAATTAGTATTTAAAAAAATTAAATTGCTAAGAGGAGGAATCTGCAATGAAACTTTAAACCTCAGGAAGGGATGTAATTTTCAAAAGGTGAGGGGGGGAACTGCAATAAACCTAAACCTCAGGGAGTGCCAGTGTAATTTACCCTATATCTTTTATACGGAAATATATATTTTTTGTTATTTATTTTTGTGTTTTGGCATCATTTGAATTAATTTTAATTCATTTAACCTTGTTAAAGAAAAAATTAATCAGCTTATTTGGTTCTAGTTTTCAAAAAACAGTTTTCAAAAAATTGTATTTTTTTATTTTCCGTATTTTAATATTTTTAATGAATTTTTTTAATATTTTAAGTAATTTTTTTTAATTTTAGAGACACCTAACATAAATACACTTAAAAAGTATAATATTTATAAAAAAAATCTTTAAAAGATATACTAAATACCAAAAAATACAAAAAAAAAAAAACAAGATTCAATACATTTTTCATATTTTTGTATATTTATTAATTTTTTAAAATATTTTTTCATAAATATTTTACTATTTAGATACATCTAAGTAAAGTTTATCCAAAAAAGTAAGAAAAAAAATTGCTTAAAATTTAAAAAATAAAAAATGTTTGGGGCCCCCACAAAAGTCCTCCCATGATCCCATTGATGTATTGACCATTGATGTGTTTGAATTTTTTTTAAGAGTGTTGTCTACAGTGACATAAATAGTTCAGATCATTTTGGAGGTTATAGGGTTGTGTTTTGTGGGGGTCTCTATCATTATTGATATATATATAGGAAAATTTTTGGGGCCCCCACAAAAGAGGACTCTCATGACCCCACTAATGTATTGATCATTGATGTGTTTGAATTTTTTTGATTGTGTCAACCAAAAGCAAGCCTTGTGTTGGATGTGATTTCATGTGGGGGAGGTGCTACTACTACTACTAGTCCTTGTGCCTGCCTTGTGTATCTCTATCATTATTTATATATATATATATATATTTCGAATGTTAAAAAAAAATGTGTGTAATCTAGCAGCTTTGCCATCCAAATTGGTGAATACACGTTACTTATTGGCAACGGCAGCTTGTGAAAGTAGGAGGTTTTTATATTTTTGGGTGTGAAAATCATGAGTCATGACTACCAGTCCTTTTTGTCTCTCGAGGAGTCCTTTCAAACTTTTTAATCTTTTTCCATAAAAGCTTTCACTTGCATTTGGTACACTACACATATACGTGATCTGACAGTTAGTGCCCGTTTGTGAATTTAATTTTTTTAATAATTTTTAATTTTTAGTGAGGCTTTTAAATTAAATAATGGGTTAATTAACGGATATTTATAACGTGATTTTTTGAATTAAAATTATTGATTTTTTGATTTTTTTTTGTGTGTGACTATTTTTGCAAAAATTTCATTTGCAAAACGGTAGTTAGGTTTTATTTGGGAACATATTTTTTAGTAATTTTTTAACTAAAATATGATATAAAAAAAATTATTATGTTTGGGATGAATTTTTTATTTTTAACAAAAGATGTGTAAAAAGTAGAGAAATTTTTTTTATTAAGTAATGTTCCATTAATCATATTTATATGTTATAAGTAGATATATTATCACTTTTATTATAATTATATTAGTTGAATGAGTTTTACCAATTTTGCATATGCAATTTTCTTTTTTTGTTTTTTTTTTTTTTTTTTGGTGATTAATTATGATTTTATTTCACTAGCTAAGCTGTAAAAACCAGGCTATGGAGGCATATCCATGAAAAACAGAAAAATAGCACAGACTACTATTTACAAGCCATCAACAAAAGAAAACAAAAACAAAAAACACAAGCAAATTGAGAAAATACCTTATAAGGTATCAACATAAAATATAAAAATAAAAAAAACTAAGATATTTTAACGTTGCATGATAGAGGAAGGATCCCCAATCCATACAAACAATCAAACAATGAATTCTTTCTGAATTGAATGAGCTCCACCAAAGAATCAAAAGTCAATATGTCAATATGTCAATATGAACCCATCATTGTAACCATTCAATCCACATATTTTGCTTGGACTACTCACCACATATTTGTGTGTGTGATTTGATGTTGGTGTATATGTTATTGGGAAAGGATGAGAACTCCATATATGGGAAGTGGGTGAGAATAATTGTAGCAGATTTTGTGGAGGACAAAGGGTCAAAAATGATTCACAATAGATTTCCATATAGAATGGTGGATTGGGCTCACCAGCTCAAGACCTTCCCATTCATTTGGGAATCATCAAATGCATATCCCACCAATGAAGCCTCTTCAACTCTCGTCTCTCACCCTTAAGAGATTTAGAGCGGACAAATTCTATTTTCAAATGGAAGGACAAGCCAGTTTTGACTTGGTGAAATGATAGAACAAAAAGTTATAAAAACCTCACCTCTAGGGTTTGACAAATTTTGGATTTGTACAAGTCTTGGCACAAATGATTGGGGCTTTTGACTCATTGAGGACTCGTTTTAGAATCAACTTTAAATTTAGATATTTTAAGTTGGATTTTTGTGTTTCGTCATGATTGATACATGTAATTTATAAATAATTATGGGTGTTTGGTGTTTACTAATGGAAGTGGGTGATACAAAAGTTTCGTTTGGCAAGGACTTTTGTGATTGTTTTAATCACAAACAAAATAAACTATTTTATTCACAACAAACAAAATATTACATCCAACCTATAATTATTACACTCTTCTCTCACAAAAAAAAGTTAAAAAGTCCTTCCCAAACCAAATTTTTTAGCCCAAACTAAAATAGCCAAAAAAGTCAAAAAACCAATCCATTTTCCAAACGGAGGCTTACAGAGAATGCTCTTCAAAAATAAATAAATAAATAAATAAATAAATTGTTAGGTTTTATTTATTGGCAATCCCGTTTGACAAAACTCCTTTGAGTTGTAATTTTATTCGCACTTTTATTTCAGTAAGGCTATGAGCGTTTAGATGCGAATCCAACCCGAATTGTGCTTTTCAGAGAAGTTTGTGATACTAATGCTTTCAAGATTGCCACTTCGCTGATTATGACGGGGATCGAGCTGCCCGGTCAGCTCGCGGGGGTCGAGGGGAAAGACAAAACAAACTATTTTAGTTACAACAAATAAAATATCACATCCAACCTATAATTATTACACTCTTTTCTCACAAAAAAAAGTTAAAAAGCCCTTCTCAAATCAAGTTTTTAGCCCAGACTAAAATAGCTAAAAAAGTCAAAAAACCCATCCATTTTCCAAACGGGGGCTTACGGAGAATGCTCTTCAAAAATAAATAAATAAATAAATAAAATACAAATTACACTTTGTTGCTTTGAATTATGAACAATTGTTAATGTACCCTGTCAACTAAAAATTATTACTACATTTTATCTTGTTAATTTGAATAATGCTATATATACTAGTTAATATACTAACTAATATGCTAACAGATGATATGACATAATTTTAGGGGTTTTGGGTATTTATAATTTTTGTATAATAAGTAGGGCCAACAATAATGGCATAACACTAGTCGGTACACTAGTGTGTACATTAATTGGTGCATGTAATACCACTGTGTTAATTTCCTTATTGTTTCAATCACTAGAGGAAATCGCATTTTTGGCGACTAAAAATTTGGTCGGCAAAAGTCCATTTTTAGTCGACAAAAGCTATTCGCGACCAATTTTTTTGGTCGCTACCTTGGTCTCCAATTAAGGGTCGGCAAAAGTAATTAGCGGCCAAAATTTTTGTTACTTGGAAAAAAGTTAGATTTGCCAACTAAATTTTTGGTCACTAAATATATATCATTACCGCGACGAATCCATTTAGTCGCTAAAACACTTTAGTCGTGAAAAATGACATATTCCCAACTAAACATGTTAGTCGTCAATTGTCACATTCCATGACCAAAAAGTTTGGTTGCCAATTGTCACATTTCACGACCAAAAAGTTTGGTCGCCAATTGTGACATTCCACAACCAAAAATTTTGGTCGCTAATTGTCACATTCCATAACCAAAAAGTTTGGTGGCCGAAAGGAATGTTTGCGCCAACATGCAACAAAATAAATCTGTAATTCATAATAATCTATCCAATCTATTTAATACAATCTGTAATTTACAATAATCAATCAAACCAATAATTCACTTGAATTATGAACATTCAACAAACTATATAAATCATCAAACTCTGAACCTGTTTAATTAAAGTCAGCAACTATTATAAGTTTTCATCCACAAGTAATTCCAAACTATATATTCCTTCAATTAAAAATCCGCTTGTAATCTATATAATCATCCAATTCACATCTATTGAGCATTAAAATTTAAAACATATTCCTTAAGTGAAGAGTAGAACTCCCTTCACAGAGCATCAACAGCTTTCATTGATTGAGCAGAAAGAAAATTCTTCTAACAGTATTCATATCCAGCCATGTCTCTTTCAGCTTCTTTCCAGGCCTCATAAGCCCAGACAAGAGCAAGGTGATCACTGTAATCACGTGAAAATTGTGCTTTTGCTGCTTCTACTAGCTGCAAAGAGAAAGACACACAAATCAATTGGTGAAACAGATAAGATAAGATACTCAATTTTCCAGCAAAAGCTATCTATTAGTGAAACTACAACTAAAATACCCAGTTAACAGCTATAGACATAAAATTATAATAGCATAAAAAGTCAAGAAAAATCATGATGGATCTGAATATTAAAGTTATAATAGCATTGGGCTGCTAAGGAGGCAGGAAAGGGAAACAAAATTACACTGTGGCACACTGTCAATGAAGATTTTGAAGTAGAAAAACATGAATCATCCATTATAATTTTGTAGCTGTTGGCATGAACACAATGAATGATAAGAATCCACCACTCTCTTTATTTTTACTTAAATTATATATATATTAACTTACTGTGCTGAGTAAGGAAAAAAAATTTACAATGTTGATATGACATGATTATGGATACATGATATATTACTAAGTAATTATTATATAAGTATAATAACAAATCTCACATGTAAATGTGATAGGTACACATTATATCAAAATAAATCATAAGCGAGAGCTAGCCACTCCAACCAAGGCTGCAACCCCAGTTGTAGCAAGACCAGGCCAGGTTAACACAAGCAAGGCTACGATACCAGCCGCAACCAGAGCAACTAAAGTCAAAACAGATAGAGTTGTAGCTTATGTCATACTCACGTGTTATAAAGAGAACTAGCATAACTGTTTCAAGTAATTAGGCTGTTAGAATTAAACCGTGGTTAGATTAGTTTGTTATGATTAGATTAAATATAAAAGCACTGAATCTTTGTAATCAATTCATCAATCATGGTTTTTGCTGGGTTAAAGAAATTGAGCCTAACAAGTGTAAGGATAATATAGCTTTGAATACAATAAGAAAGAAAGTTTTGATGTAAAAGGACAACTATGTAAAGATTGAAACCTCAAGAGATACCTCAATTTTGACACCTTCTTTGGCTTCTATAGCTTGATGAATCCCCTCAGACCATCTCCTTCTCTCTTCAACTCTCCCTGTCAACTTCAGAAATGTCTTGTTGTGTTAATGTGAGTATTCTGCTCAACTCTCCCCTAAGACCATTTATGTACTCTGTTCAACTGTTTCATAATTGAAGTCCTTCAGGGTATCCAAACTACAGGTCCTCTGCTGCTAAGTCTCCTAATATAACGCATCAAAACCTATTCAAACAATAAGTTCATAAAATTAACAAACATTGGCAGACACCAATAGCCCAACAGTGTAATAGACAATGTAACTAATCAAAAACTAAATGGCAATACTACAAGAATATCATAACAAAAAAATTTAAATAACATAAAAACACAAATGCCAAAGTCAATTCCACAGATTTTTAAAAAATCACTGAATGTCAATAATCTGGAACAGTGAACTACACACCAACGAACTAAGAGAGTATGAGGTCAAGGGTACTCAAGTAAGTCTTATCACAAGAAGAACTCCACCTCCTATGCTACTGCCTCCCATGTACCAGGAGAAAAAAAAAGAAAAAAACCAAAAAACATGTTCAACACAACACAACAATTCAACAAATCCAACAATAATCACACAATTATAGAACGAAACCAATTCAGACAATCCAAAATAGTTTTTAATTCAGCATCAACAGAAAGAACTTAATTCAGACAACCCTAAAATATGTTATATGTGCCTTTTTGTGGGTGAATAAAATGTTATATGTGCCATTAATGTGAAAACTCAATTAAAAATTACACACTTTAGGCCCTCAAATATACCATATATATCACTTTAAAATATACCATATATTCTGATGCTTTACTATTAAGAACATAAATTTAGGAAGAGTTAGCCACGTTTTGAGGGGAGTGAACACTGGAAATTCAAGAAAATTCATGCTATACTTTTAGGACTGCAGTCGGGTATTTAGAATTAGGCAGATTGTGAATAAAGTAGGGATTTCATGGTTGTTTGGGTACTGTGTACCAAACATGTGGACAGTAGCTAGGCTGAGTTTTTAGTTTTTTGGTATTAGGCTAAGATGTCTGAAGAGAGTAGGATTTAGGCTTATCAAATAGTATTTTAAGCGTATGAGAAGGTTAACAATGTCTAATTTTAAATTCAAAAGGACCTGATATTGTATAAATTAAAAGAAAAATGAAGAGAAGTAGAAGAAGAAGATAGACATCGCATTCAAATTCCCCAAGACATCAAGCCTGGGGATCAAAGTATAGCACACAGTTTGCCTCTCCATATCAAGCTACAATTAATTTTTTTTTTTAATTGTACTCTAAAAACCTTACCAAATTCCACTACTATCAAATATAATAGGCACGTGGGAATATGGAAAGACATGAAGTCCACTACTATTTGTTATAAAAAGAACAGGTCAACTCAACAAAGCATAATGATTCATGATTGCAATTTGATATTTTTTGTTGCAATTTGCAATTTAATATTTTCAATTAACAGAGATCCATTGTCCATATGATAAACAAAATCGTAAGACATAACTCTATATTGGTTGCCATCACTTAAATCAGTCACTATCCAATAACTCACACCAATAGAATTCTTAAATATATATAACACAAATTATTTTTGGCCTTCCAGTTTGAGAAATCCACTAAGTGGATCAGAGAGCCATTGTGAAATCTACCTAATCTGACTAGCAGGATCTAGGAAAATTCAAGTGAAAAATTTATGTTTTCCCATGATCCATGTTTGTTACTGCAACCAAACCCATCAATCCTTCAAACAACTCTCCAAGCTATATGATTCTTAGTAACTTTTAAGCCATCAAATTAACAGTAGCATTTAAGGAATAATTCAAACTAATTCATAGGCTATAATCTTTACACAAGATGAGTTGATTAAAAATAAATTTTCAACCTTGCAAGTAGAATTTAAAAAATTCTTCGCCACAAAAGAATTATTATATACCTTTGTACAATCTGTCACAGCCTTTTTATACTCCCCAACTTCTTGTAACATGAAGCCCTGCTAGATAAGACCTCCATGGAAGCAGCACCATCACCAGTCTTCTCAAGAAGAATCACAGCCCAAGAAAGCCACTTTATGGCATCAACATACTTCCCTTGTTTGTAATTATCCATCCTCTTGTTCTTCGCAGCCGAGGCTGAAACACCAGTAGGCGGTGTTTGGAAGCCCTTCAAGCTCAATTGTCCCACCCATGTCATTCCCTCCCCCAAACTCTGATCCATCCCCTAATCGTTAGGACCCAAACTCTGAAGCCCTTAAATCAGTCACTCTGTTAATTTAAGACCTTACGATTCTTATTTTTTGATATTTTTGGTTCTAGGAACTTCAAGGAACTTTCTAGAATTTATCTTATTTCTATAATTAACCTTCAAGGAACTTCTTGGAATTTATCTTATTTCTGTAATTAACCTTCACCTCTTTTCAGATTGTTTATTGATTTTGATTTTTGACATCAAAATTTTTTCGCTGTGAAACCCATAAAACTAAAATCAAACCCATTTTCGACATCAAGAAGAACATAACTTCATAGAAATCAAACACTTCATCCAAACCAATTTAAGAAATCAACACAAAATTGAACTAACAAAATCATATAAAACCCTAGATCAACTGTAAGAAATGAGAAGAGAGAGAGAGAGAGAGGCGATTCCAGAGACCACAGAGAGAGAGAAAGAGAGATTGCAAGAGAAAAGTGAGAAAGGTAAATAAGTTTTTATGGGTAGATTGAGAGAGATAAAGAGATTGTGTGTGTGAGAGAAAGATTCATACCGCTATTGTTCTATAGATCACCATGGCAACGGAGAGAGCTTGAAACAGAGAGAATGATATCGAGAGAGACAACATCGAAGAACAACGCATAAGAAAAGGGGTTAGGGCTTACGTATAAGAAAAGGGCCTAGAGTGCAACGTACGGTGGTGACAGTGGAAAGGCGAGAACGACGGACGTCAACGTTAATGGTGAGGCGAGGTGGGGTGAGGTTTGGTGGTGAAGGAGAATCTGTATGAGAGAGAGAACAATCTGATTGGTTTAAATAGAGAACAAGCGAGGGCAATTAAATGGTTTCCCTTTAAAATTTTCACACCTTTGGCAACAAAATTTGTTTTTAGTCGGCAAATGTTATTATCTGCGACCAAAATATTTTAGTCACTAAAAGTTTTTCATTCCCACTTTTTTTTTTTGTCTTCCCTCTTCGACTTTTGCAGACCAAATTTCAACTTTGGTTGTAGAAAATTATATTTTGGCAACTAAAAAAATATTAATCAACAAAACTCCAAACCTTTGCCGACCAAATTTTTATTTAGTCGCCAAATGAAAAACTTTTGCAACTAAAATAGTAAATTGGTTGCTAAAAATCACTTTTTAGCAACAAAATATTTTTAGTCGGTAATATTATCAAGTTTTAGCGACGAATTTTTTTTTTTTTGGTCGGCAAATGTCAATTTTTTGCTACCAAAATATTTTTAATCGGCAAAAACGATCGACAAATGTGTATTTTCATGTAGTGGATCTCAACCTTTTAATAACATTTATTATGTGTGTGTACGTGCAAGGACTACGTATATATATTCCTCTTTGATTCTAAAATTGATATATGCATATATTTTCTCACTTATTTTTTTTTATAAAAAAAGAAGAAGATATATACATATTTTTTTACATATTTCTTAGGCCTAGTTTGGGAAGACTAAATAAGTGCACTTTTTGACTTTTTATGAAATATGGGTTGGGTTTGGATTGAGTTTGAAGTGATGTGTTAGAGAGGTGATGTGACTTAAATAAGATGATGTGACTTAAATAGGATAGTGACTTTTTGACTTTTTCTTCAAATCACATCTACTGGATGCTGGTTATGTGAATCCTCTAATAACATTATAAGCCGTGTTGAAGAGGTTTTACTGAATGCTTCATGAATGGTCTATAAATCATGATTTTGCATTATAGGCATTGGATTAATTGCTCGAAAGACAAAACGGTAAATATAACAAAGGATAACATAGTCAGACTTACAAACATGTGCACATAAATAAGTTTACTTAATTGAAAACATCAAGCGTCCATTATAATAATATCATCAAAGAAAAAAAATATCATTCTACTTCTTCTCCACTTAAAGGTAAGAAGAACATTAACGAGTAGAGCAGAGACATAAGTCTGTCTTTCGTACCATTCAAAACCACACTTCACTCAAAAGGGTTACAGACAAGTTGACTTCCAATCACAAATAAACTTACAAGGGTTAGCACCATCACAAGTCTTCTCAAGAAGAATCACAGCCCAAGAAAGCCACTTTATGGTATCAACATACTTCCCTTGTTTGTAATTATCCATCCTCTTGTTCTTCGCAGCTGAGGCTGAAACACCAGTAGGCGGTGTTTGGAAGCCCTTCAAGCTCAATTGCCCCATCCATGTCATTCCCTTCCCCAAACTCTGATCCATCCCCTAATCGTTAGGACCCAAACTCTGAAGCCCTTAAATCAGTCACTCTGTTAATTTAAGACCTTACGATTCTTATTTTTTGATATTTTTGGTTCTAGGAACTTCAAGGAACTTTCTAGAATTTATCTTATTTCTATAATTAACCTTCAAGGAACTTCTTGGAATTTATCTTATTTCTGTAATTAACCTTCACCTCTTTTCAGATTGTTTATTGATTTTGATTTTTGACATCAAAATTTTTTCGCTGTGAAACCCATAAAACTAAAATCAAACCCATTTTCGACATCAAGAAGAACATAACTTCATAGAAATCAAACACTTCATCCAAACCAATTTAAGAAATCAACACAAAATTGAACTAACAAAATCATATAAAACCCTAGATCAACTGTAAGAAATGAGAAGAGAGAGAGAGAGAGAGGCGATTCCAGAGACCACAGAGAGAGAGAAAGAGAGATTGCAAGAGAAAAGTGAGAAAGGTAAATAAGTTTTTATGGGTAGATTGAGAGAGATAAAGAGATTGTGTGTGTGAGAGAGAGATTCATACTGCTATTGTTCTTTAGATCACCATGGCAACAGAGAGAGCTTGAAACAGAAAGAATGATATCGAGAGAGACAACATCGAAGAACAACGCATAAGAAAAGGGGTTAGGGCTTACGTATAAGAAAAGGGCCTAGAGTGCAACGTACGGTGGTGACAGTGGAAAGGCGAGAACGACGGACGTCAACGTTAATGGTGAGGCGAGGTGGGGTGAGGTTTGGTGGTGAAGGAGAATCTGTATGAGAGAGAGAACAATCTGATTGGTTTAAATAGAGAACAAGCGGGGGCAATTAAATGGTTTCCCTTTAAAATTTTCACACATTTGGCGACAAAATTTATTTTTAGTCGGCAAATGTTATTATCTGCAACCAAAATATTTTAGTCACTAAAAGTTTTTCATTCCCACTTTTTTTTTTTTTGGTCTTCCCTCTTCGACTTTTGCAGACCAAATTTCAACTTTGGTTGCAGAAAATTATATTTTGGCAACTAAAAAAATATTAATCAGCAAAACTCCAAACCTTTGCCGACCAAATTTTTATTTAGTCGCCAAATAAAAAATTTTTGCAACTAAAATAGTAAATTGGTCGCTAAAAATTACTTTTTAGCAACAAAATATTTTTATTCGGTAATATTATCAAGTTTTCGCTACGATTTTTTTTTTTTTTTTTGGTCGGCAAATGTCAATTTTTTGCTACCAAAATATTTTTAATCGGTTGCTACCAAAGTATTTTTAATCGGCAAATGTGTATTTTCTTGTAGTGGATCTCAACCTTTTAATAACATTTATTATGTGTGTGTACGCGCAAGGACTACATATATATAGGGATGGCAATGGATAACCTACCCTGTGGGTATCCATGGAGACCCAACCCAAATACATGGGTTTTCCCCTCTTTTTCTTATCCATTGGGTAGGGTAGGTGATATTCTTTAAATATCCACAGGGGGTGGGTTGGGGATGGATACCCACTAATTTCCCCATATGTTTTTTTTTTTTTTTTTTTTTTTAAGATTCACAACTAAAACTAAATATACATTCACTTTTTTTACCCTTTTAAGGGAAGACTAAATAAGTGCACTTTTTGACTTTTTATGAAATATGGGTTGGGTTTGGGTTGGGTTTGAAGTGATGTGTTAGAGAGGTGATGTGACTTAAATAAGATGATGTGACTTAAATAGGATAGTGACTTTTTGACTTTTTGTCTTTTTTCAATCATGCCAAACTTGGCCTTAGTAAATGAGCTTCTCCTTCCACAGTTTGATAGTAAAATTAGTATGCGTAGCTCACATGCATGTGCGTGCCCTTTTTTTTTTTTTTCATAACAAAATGTTAATCGAAGGTTGAAATTATAATATTAACGGACAAATGTAGTAATTTTTAATTGGGGAGGTAATCACCCAATTGAGATGTAAAGTATAATTTGCTAAAAACTAAAATAAAAGATCTTATATTGTGGTGTTGCAAACATTTCAATGCCTACATGCCCATGTTTTATAAACATAGTATGTCGGTACGTTAATAATTAAATGGTCCAGTTAATAAGTGTTTTTAGAATACAAGTGAAAGGTTAAATATTTGTAAAATTTTTACTAATTTTGATACATTTTTGTTAAAATTAACACACTTTTTAATAATTTTACATATTTAAAAAAAAATTATACATTTCCTAACGTTAAACAATATCCATGAAACCCGTGTTAGCATTTGTTATAATTAAAAATCATTAGACACTCAAATTATTAGAAGAGAATTGATGACTAATGTTGGATCCTGAACCTATTTTAATGTGCAGAGTTTAACATAAGAAAAATCAACCTGTAACAAATCTCATATTTAACTTTTCGATAAAGACAAATTACATGCAAATTGTATCTAATACTTTAATATAATTTTATACGTAAATCAATGGGCGTGCTTGTACTATAAATTGAGAAATAAAAAATAAATAGATAAAATATTTTAAGCTATCTGGTAGTTGAATCTAACTGGTTACAACTAATTTTGTTTTGGACATAGGGAGTGTAATTTTGTTACTGATTAATTTGTTATCAAATATGAATTGCCCTCTTGAATTTTATTTTATTTTATTTTATTTTTTCTGATTATAATATCTTTATTTTGTTAGAAAATGAATAATTTTAATGAGGATCAAATACATCATAAATTAGAATTAGACGTAAATTCTCAAAATGGAGCGAGGCCGGCCTCTGTTTGTATTTGAATTTTCTGATTATATTAATCTAAGTTTCTTAAAGATTTTTTTTATTTTATTTTAAAAACATAGTCTAAAATTTTTATTTTGGTTTCAATTTATCCCATGAAGGTTCCCTAAAGAGGGGGAAGGTGGACAAAAGTATAAATATTAAATTCTTGTGCCCCGAGTAATTAAAAAGCTCAAAGTAATTTAAACCAATGTGATAGTTCTCTTTTATACATAAATTTATCAATGCTAATATTTTAGGATTATCTGGTGAATGGGATAAACTATTATTTTAAGGTTGTAATTCTGAAAAGTGGATTAATAATGAATAATTAGTTGAAATAGTTTCCAAAATTGGAATGGTTAAAGTTTTGGGTTTCACCTATTGCCTCATAGAGATCTGACAATTAATAATGATTACAATAAAGAAGGGGATCTAATACAGCAATGCTATAGAGCTATAAAAGTAGAGCTGTAAAAAGAGCTCTACTGAGTTGGCATGTCCAAAAAAAAAAAAAAAAAAATCAAGCTAAAACATCACACCAAGCTGGACTCCACACAGATCCATGTCATTAGTGCATGGTTTAGAGCTCTTATTCTAGAACTCTCAAGCATTTTTCGGATCTAATAATATAAGAGATTACTTGGACAGATTAAATTTATTTTATTTATGAGTAAGAAGATTTGAGACAACAAATTTTGTCCTTCTTTGGTTGTGCTTTCATTTTTTTTCATTTTTTGCTTTTATTATTTTATATTTTTGAAAAAAGAAAATTAAAAAGTCTCAAAT